CTCTAACCTCATGTCATCACCATGTAGTGATTTCTTCTTTTTGATTATTTCTGCATAGTAGTAAGTGTTTGTAAGATCTGGCTGTCGTACTGAGTTACAGGCGTGATTCGTCCTCAGTGTACTGCGCGTATTCTGCGTGGCTACTTCTGCCTCTCAGTTTTCTTTGAAAGTAGAACTGTGAACAGAGCCGAAGATGTGAACATGATGTTTGTGGCTTTGTTCTGTAATTCTGTACTTTTCCATATCTCCTTGTAGTTGTATAGATCTTTTTGTTTTCCTATGAGTGGTAAAGGCATTTAATCAAAAAGGCGGAAGGAAGGAAGGAAATAGATTAGAAATTGCGACATTTCGCATTAATAGGTGGTTTTAAGGTAGACTTGCTCTTCCAAAGATTATGTCAACTGAGAAAGATTTTTGTCACCACTGTGTGTACAAGTCCATTCTGAGCCTTTGCATAGTTTTGAAGGAAAGATTTTTCTTACTGGAGTAACATTCCTGTGTTTCAGAATGCTAAATAGTCCACAGATCCCTTTCAGAAGACTGAGTGTTGCAGTCAGGTTTTTGCATGGATCCAAAATGCAGCGTTCTGGTATTTCCAGACACATTTTCATTATGGTTCTTCAAAAGGCTCTGATAACACAGGCACACGCAAACAGCAGTCACGGGCAGCTCGAGAGCAGCCTGAGAAAGGAAAATGCTGTGTTGCTTTTTGCACCTTTCCTGCCTTTGTTCTGTAAAACTTGACAGAGAAGGGGACCGAGGGATAAGAACTTCAGTCATAGTAAGCTCTGCAATGCAACAGTCTCAGAACAGGAGACAGGGCTAAACCACATAAGAGAGGCTTTTTTTACTTTGCTTTTTACACAGGGTTTCCTCTCACACCTCTCTCTGGATGGAATTGGTTTGATCCTGGGAAAGTGGGTTATGCATGAAAGACGCTTGCTGCAGAGTCAAAGGATTTTTTTTTTTTTTTTTTTTTTTTAAGTACTTCATTGCTTTCTGGCTGGGATGCAGCCCTGTGATTTATAACAGCTTCTATTGACTCAGCCTACTGTGAAACATTAGGAAAAATCCACAAGGCCACTGATCCATGTATTTGGTGTATTACAAATATATAATGTAAGCCTCTTGAAGAGTTTTTTGAATCCTTTGAATCAATAATAAAATATATACATATCCAGGGCCCTAATGCTTGAGCAAATAGTCTGCTCTAGACAAGTGCTGTAAGAAACTCTCCTGCTGTCTTGAGCAGCAAAAGTCCTGTGAATAAAGACTGGTCTTCAAGATCAACCTTTAAATTTTTGGTCATAGCAAATTTGCATTGCTACAGAGTTGCATTATTGTTCAGTTGGCAATAATTGATATTATAGCCACTTGAAAACAATTTCCTTGCTCCTTATTTTTCTCTTCTCTAAGCAACTTTTCTGCTTTCACCTCTTGTCACCTTTCATGATGAAATCGCCCTGGGAGATGAGGATGTCCCCAATACCACACAGCATATTCAATGCTGAAGCGTCCGAACTGGGGATTTGAACTCTGCCTTCTGCTGCCCTTCATTCCTCCTTTTCCCCTTGGTGGAAATATCGCCAATATTTTTTGCGATATCACTGAAGAGGGCCAATGAGCCTGGCTTCCCCTGGTAGCAGCTGTCTGCAGTGAGCCCTGCTAATAGTTATCACTGCCTGAGACAACCTTCCCTGGGATGCAGTTTGACATACTGCCGTCACTGGGGCTTAAACATAGTAATCTTTAAAAATGATTGGGAATTTGCCCTAGAGAAAAAACTGTTATGATTAATTTCTACAAATGATAAACCACTCCTCCTTCAAAATACTATATGCTATGAAGTGTGATTTAATCCATTTAACTACAGAGCCTGATGCTTCTGACAACTGTGACTCAAATGTCATCACAGAAAGTGATATTTCAAGTGGCAGGGTGGGATTAGAAACCTGCTGAAGATTTGTCAAAGGAGAAGTAAGTACATAATTTTTAGATAAGTGATTTGTCTACTCTAAACCACTTCCGCTGAAAAGACAGGCAGCTTAAAAGAGAAACTTGCTCTGTTACACTAGAAAGTGTATTTAATTGCAGAGGGGAGAAAGAGCAATATTCTTATTTATAATGAGAGTTAAAGAGAAAAAAGAAACACAGAGAAGATGGGGAATATAAGTTTTTTTCTATATAGATAAAATGTTTTTTTCATCCCCAAGAAAACATGATTTAATCTAGGCCTATACAAGGAGGGAGCCAGTCTCGATTCTGATAGCCTTGCACTGTCTTATTTGTTGTTGTTGCTTTGTTGGTTTTTTGAAATGCAAATAACACCATGATAGCTGAAGAACTGCACAAATTTTGCAAGTGAAGTAAAATGTGAAACTAACCTAAAAAACACACTGTGTGTATCTGGATTTCTGTATAAGCTCCAGTCACAAGTAAAATAAGGGAAAAACTGTCACAGTTGTCTTCCAGGTGCAATCGCGAATCCATCCCAGTGAAGATACAGTAATAGAGATCTTGATCCTTGTTGGGGGTTATCAGCATTTTTCTCGTTGCTTTGCCAATCCTGAGCAGTGTCGTGTAGAACTTGGGGTCTCCTTAAAGCGCCTGCCCGCTCTGGAGGTGTCGGGAGCAGAGTCGCAGGGTACTGTGCTGTTCTTGTGTGTGCCTGAATCTCAGATCCCATCAACTGCACTTGGAAATAATGGTACACTTGGATTTATTGTGTGGATTCACCCAGATCTCTGCACATGTAGCAAAGGTCTTTCCCACAGCAGGTAGCCTGCCAGGAGGATAAAGGCTCTGGAGGCCAAAGGCAGCGCGTGGTGATGCCGGGAGCAGCCATGTTGGTTAAAAAGTCTTTGCTCGGTGGCACTTGTGCAGCTCTGAGACTGCAGAAGTGTCCCCGCGGGCTCAGCATGCGGAGCTGGGCACGCGGGTGGCTGAGGAGCGGGAGGAGCAGCCCTCCCGGCAGCCTGACCTTGAGCATCGCGCTGCCCCGGCAGCGGGAGCCGGGAGGAAAGCACATGCACATCCCTCCGTTTGTTTGAAGTGGATTCGCTGGGAACAAAACAAACACGAAATCTGTCAGTGCTTTTTTATGGAGCCGTTTTTCAGGGACGAGCTGCGCTTTGATATCTGTGATAGGTTGCTGTTCCGATCTGTCATGTTGCAGAGGCTTTCTGCTAAGGTGTTTAAAAAGCACGGGTAAGTGATTGTAAACAGCGCAGGGGAAGCTGAGGCCATTTTTTTTCACTGAAAGGAATCTTGCCATGCTGCTGTTTTTATTTCCCCCTCCGTTTTCTTCTTTTTTTAAGCCCTTGTTGTTTCTGCTCGTTTTCTTGCGGGGCTCTCGGGCGGCCCCGGGCGCCTTTAAGAAGTGGCGGTGCGTTTGCAAAGGCCGGGCCGGGGAAGGAAGTGGCTCTTTACCGCAGGAGGCTGTGTCAGGAAAAGGCTGGTTCTTGGTCGGCCACAACTTAAACTGCCAGTTTTCCCTCTGAGCAGGAAAAATAAGTGTCCCATTGGCTTCCTGTTTGTTTGTGTGCGTGTGTGTGTTGTTTTTTTTTTTCTCCTCTCTTTGATATTGTCAACTTAAAGCCCTTAAACCAAAGGGTCTATGAAAGAGGCTATGTTGTAGCTCAATTTGAAACATGAAACTTATTTTAAATGCTTTAGGTATAATTCTAGATGTGCAGAGTTGCATGGAGAGGGGTTTGCTGGCAGGAGAAGCAAGTGCCAGGCCAAGCTGAAGGTCTGGACCCCACAACTGCGGGGAGGGAGGGAAAGACAGACGTGGGGCTGGTGAGTGCCCTGCTCTAGCAATTCCCATGGCATGGATGAGAAGTGCAGCCCCCTTCTCAGTGCCTCAGTTTCCCCATCTGTGGAGGCTGGGAGCAGTGCAGGTTCGCAGCTCCAGAGCCCCGGGATGCCAAGCGGAGCCCGCGCGGTCCGGGCAGACGCTGATTAGTGTGCCTCGTTTGATGGATTTAGTCACCAGCATTCAGCAAACAGGGGAGGGGGGGAAACAAGTGTATGCGGCTTCCCCGATCTAAAGACTTTCCAGCCTCGGTGCCCTTAATGGTTTGTTATGCAGACGCGAACAAGTGTTGCTTCCAATTAATTGATCGGGGGGATTTATTTCAGTATTTTGGCCGGATGCCAGAGACAGAGGCTTTGTCCTAGTGTTTTAGGCACCACCCCTCCTTGCAAGTTTGAAATGTGAGCTGCCTGGGCTTTTTTTTTTCCTCCTCTCTCTCTCTCTCTGCCTCTCTGTTTCTCTCCCCCTCTCTCTCCCTTCTGGCAAAGTGGCTGTGATTGCCTCGCGCGTGTGTGTGTGTGTGTGTGTGTGTGCGTGTGTGTGTGCATGCGTGCGCCTGGGTGCGGGAGCATGGGAGAGGGATGTGTAATGGGGAAGCAAGAGATGGATCACTAGAGACAGAAAAGAAAGCCATCAATATCAGTAACATGCAGCCGAGGTGAGATTTTTCCTTAGCGTTTGATTTTCTTAAAACCCTTTCAGAAGATTTAAAGCAGCCTTCTTCCCAGCTGCATGCTCAAGACGTACTCTGAAGCAATGTCATGCGGATGCTTACATGTATATTGCTGTCTTAGGTCTGCTCGCGTATGTGTGAAGTTTTAAGGCTTAACCCGATTCTCTTTATTGTCTCTGGAGGGTTGTAGCTTGAGCACAAATAGCCTGTTGGCAAGTACGGCATGAGCCCATTAGCAAGACTCCATCTGTGATTGGTTTTGCCTGGAAACCGGGAGACAAGCAATGAATAATTGATGTGTGTTGTGCAGTAGCTGGACAGGCAAAGAGGAGAGAGAGGGAGCAGCAGAGCAGGGTGCCCTCCGAGGGGGAGAGAGAGAACAAGCTCGGAAATAGCTCCCGGCTGCCTTGTGCCGCGATGAAGGCGACCCCGGCTGCCTTTGTTCTGCGCAAGATGCTCGCCGCCTAGAAGGGCTCTGAGGCGAGTGTGGCCCCTCTCCGCAGCCGGAGCGAGGCAGGAAGAAGCTGAGGAGGGGGAGCAGAGGAAGACTAGTTTTCTGAATGAAGCGGAACTCGCGGGTAAGTTGGCTTCTCGGGGGGCGGGGGCGCGTGCACGCGCGTGAGCGCTCGCTCGGTGCGCGAGCGCGCGCGGCGGCGTGTGCCAGGCCGGGGGTGCATTGTGGGTAGCGCCGCTGCGTGTGGCGCAGGGAGACGCCGCGCGGCCCCAGGGGCTGCCGCGGCGCTGCCCGCCCGCCCACAGGCCTGGGGGTTCGCGACGCGCCGAAATGCCCCGTGCTCCGCGTGGACGGTGCCTCATTTCATTGCTTACAAGATCCGTGTTTATTTTTTTGCCTGCAAGCGCAAAAACAAAACGTGACAGCAACTCTCCGTGGTGTTTTCCTCAGTCTTCGCTTGCTTGGCACTGTAAAAATGTGACGTGCCATTCTGCAAGCGACAGCCCTGCTGCCACCATTTCTTTTTCCCCTCTTTATAAGGAGCTTGCTATGTCTAGCCCACAAATAGTGTGCATCTCAGGCAAGCGATTTCAAAAAGAATTCCAAAAAGGTATGAATGCCACCGTCAGTCCCAGCTAGTGAAGCTGAAAAGTATTTTGCCCATTATGTTTGCTAATAATAAATGACTTGTTGATTTGTTTGCCTTCCTAAAGCAAGCTAAATTCATTCTTTAATTCACAAACAGTGAAAGAGTTGTCAGGAACTTTAAGACTACTAATGCTGAAGGGGACCATGTGAGCTCCTACATGGCGTAGGAAATATTGGTTTATGTTTTGTTTCGGTTACTTGGAGTAAAGCAAATATGAATTTACACCTGAATAACACGGCAAATGTTAATTCATAGCAGAAATTAAGTGTGTCAGATTAATACAGCTGGAAAGTTTGCGAATCAAATGTTTTGCACCTCACAAACATCAACAACGTGGTTTGTTGGGGAAAGATATGCGACTGCAGACAGCACCTCCCTGTCGGGTGGGTCGCACTAAAGTAGCCTTTTCTAGAAGAGAGATAGTGTCTGACCCTGTGCCCGCTGAAGCGGGTGTCCAGGCAAGCGCTGCCTTCAATCCCGCAAGCTGCCTGCTGAGTTCAGGTGAGTCGGTGCCAAGCACTCTGCAAACCAGCTAGCGCCTGTGAGCTGCCGATGAGGCCTCAGTCTAGACAGAGCTGCTTGGTTGGACTGAGCAGTCTGAAATGATTTTTAGCATGCCTGAAAATGGAAGTGTGTGAAATTAAGATTCACTTGAAATTGCTCGAAGTTTTTTATTGCTCAAAGAATTTTATTGGCGTTATATTTGTAAAGACGTTAATTACCAACATCTTGAACTTTTAATATGATAAAGTAGTAGCTCCTCTCAGCTAAGCAAAAGCATATTTCCTCTGTACTGTCATAAATCTGCTTAGAGTCTTGTTCCTCTTTTTGCTTACTTCTTAAATCAAGATGGCAATTAAATGTTTGAGTAGAAGTTTAGAAGCAAAGGGGTTTTTGTTGATTTACTACGAAAGAACTCAATAGCACTTTGGGTTGAATTTAAGCCAGGAAAAGAAGTTTTACCAGAGGCTGAGAGCTTTGAAAGGGTGAAAACTTCACTTTGTAGAAGTATTTAAGTATTTAAGGGCTCTTTCCCCTTTTCATCCCTTTCTAAAGGAGTCACCAAGCTCTAACTCTGGGGAAGCAGGCACAGTGACATGTCACCAGAAAAGACAGTCTGAATGTGCTGGGTATAGTTTAATGGTAATGACTGAAAATGCTGATTGAGAGAGAGTTTGGAAACTTTCTCCTAAGCCTTTGCACTTTTATTAATTTGGAGTAGAATAGGTGCAGACATCAAACATATGAGGGTCTGAGGAGCCCTGACAGCAAAGTTGCTTCATACTCCAGAGGAACGTGGCACTAGCTGCGTAGCTGAGGCCCATCTGCGTCACACGTCGAGCTAATGACGCTGAAGTTTCCCTGCCAGCCTCGCTTGTCACTGGGACAACGCGAGGCTCCTTGGCTGCAGTGGTCGCACTTTCTCGTGAGCAGGAGACCAGCCAAAGCCTATTGGCTGATAGCAGAGTGCAGCCAACAGGACAGTGTCACTGCATGAGATTTTCTATTTGTAACTTATTTCTTCTCCCAAGATGCAAGACAGAAAATGATATTAAATGAGAAAAGCACAAGAGAGCTAACCAGAGGGGGAGAATAAAACCCAACCTGCAAACCCTTCCCAGACGTAGCACTTCTAAAGTGAGCTGATGTTCTCGAGAGCTCGGTAGAGATACTCTGGTTTTGTTCCTCTCTGTTGGAGAAGAAACTGCCACAGGAAATACCTTTCTCTGTGGCTGCTCTTGCAAATGGAGCTTCCGTTTTATCCTTGGTGTAACCCACCGAGGAAGCCCCTATTAGGCACGGCGTGAAGCTGCCTGGAAGCAGCAGGGCTTTTGCTAAGGGGATGCTAGAGAGAAGCGGCTGCCTCCCAGCCCTGCCCAGCCACTGCTGCGCTGCAGGTCGGAGGTGCCCAGGCTGGTGCTGACGGATCACATCGGGGATGAAAGTCTGGTGGAGCACGGTGTGGAGAGAGCAGACTGAGTGCTACATTGGACACCTGGCAGGTACAGCACAGGTTACAGCATCGGTGTAGCCTCGAGAGCCAGAAAACCCATAGCGGTAACAAGTGCCCAAGCTGCCTGTCCTCTGAGTCTCCTAGAGCTTTGTGGTGCTTTTCTTCCTGCTGCCTCTCCGGAATAACAGGAACAGAAATTCCACCTAGTATACCTGCTTATAAAACACCATTTGCTTTGTATCTCAGTATGCCACTGCCCTTGCTGGAGTTTTAACTGACCCAGTGGCAAAGAGGGGCTCTCTAGCACCGAGCAGCCCAAGGGGAAAATTTAGGGGCATTTAGAGTATTGCTTGGTTTGAAGAAGGGTTTAGGTGAATATGGAGATCAACTCTCCACCTGCCTGCTGCGTTTCTCCCCCTCTCCGGAGGCCGATTTGAAAGACACCAGGGGTCAGGCTAGAAGGAGGCTGGTGAGAGTAAGCAAGGCCTGTGAGGGCAAATAAATGCCTAAAAATCAGCTTCCTCAGTATCAGAACAATTTGGTATCATTGAACAGATCCTTTTAAATTGGAATATGGAAAGATGAGCTAGCCTTCAAATCAAGTGTATGTTTCAAAAATTTCTAGAGATAAATGAGTGCACAATAAAGCAGAGCAGCAATAGCTTTTAGGACGTGGTGAGGAGCACATATTGTTCGTCATCGATGTGAAAGCAGCCAGCCAGTCTGGCACGTACATGGGCTTATTCATTGAGAATTCAGTAAAGAGACAGAGGCCCAGGAAGAACACAGACTGTTTCTTCCTGTTTTTTTAATTAGAAGTTCCCTTAAGAATTTTCTGCTGAAAATCAAGACATAGTTATAAAATGAAACGAATGACACTGGGACAGTAATTACTTCAGCGGTGTTGGAGGCTGCCACACAGCCTACCTGCAATACAGTTTTTAACAGGGATCATTCTCAAATGCTGTGCATTTTCTGTAGGATGTTATTAATGCTAATTTTTAGTTTGCTGGGCTCATTCTGTTGACAGTAATCCAGTGCCACTGGTGACACTTGTATCCATTCCAAGTAAAAAAAAAAAAGTAATTTTAGTTGCAGTTGTCTTTATAAACACCAACAAAATGTTCAGACACCCAGCTAGGCTCCTAATGCTGGTTGTTTATTGAGTCTGAGGTACAGCTCTCATCATAGTTTGATGAATAGCCTTTTTTGTTTATTGACTTCTAATTCCTCTAAGTGAATCTGCTTGCTGATACTTGGTGTTCTTTGTACCTCCTCAGTGCTACTTAAATATCATTTCAGCAGGTGGGCAGGCTGAACTCTGCCTTGAAATCCTGGAAGCAGACAGAAAAAAAAGAAAAAAGCAAACGAAAAAACCAACTGTACCATACCTGGATGCACTGTTCTTTCACATATTTACCATTAATACAATTTGTAGTCGATTTTCAAAATCAAACTAGCCTAATGTTCAGTGGAAACAGAAATGGGGCAACCTGGAATGCTTTTAAAAAAATTACATTTTTACATATTCTTGGGTGTCTTCTTTCTTAAAGTATAAGAAGATATCAAAGATTGTTAATAGGTGCTTGTCCTATGACACTCTTTTCAGTACTGGTAACCAGCTTTCCTGACCTCCTGTTTGTTTTGGTTATCCAGCCCATTTAACAGGTGCCACAGGTTGCAGTATTTCTGTATTAGTGAGTATCAGGAAAAGGAGAACAATAATGTTCTGCATTGTCACTTATTTATCCCTTTTCCAGACAGAGCTCTCGGGAGGCTATTAACAGTGCTGCTGCTTTCACTGTCTTATCTACAGGCACTATCCGTGTGAGAAAGTTGAGTTTTCAAGCATTGCCCTAATACCAAGGCTTTCAGAGAAGCCTGTCATGATTTACTTATTCATACAGATTGCAGTGGCTTATGTAGTCTTGATCCTGCTTGATCTTCCAGCAGTATCTGCTCCTATTGATCACAGAGTGTTATGTGGCTGCCTTGAGCAGCTCGGAGGTCTCCCTGGTTCTGTTAACGGGGTTTGCTACTGGGGTTTCTCTGCACTCTCATTTCGTCGCTGTCGATAGTTTACCTCCAGTCGTCCTGCTCGGGCAGACTGGCCACAGGGTAATGTCACAGTCTTTGGGTTTTTTAGAGAATTTGGTGATACCTTGGGGAACTTTGCCGCTGTCACCGCGGTTCTCTCCAGACCTGGCTTTTAGCTCTGGTTCATCGTGCATGCTTTCTGGTGTGCTCAGCTATCATATTTGGTTGCAAATGTGTGAAAGCTCTTTCTATGCTCAGAGTAACAAGCTGCCATGCTTGCAGAACCGTGCGCTCGCACCTGCCTAGCTCTTGCCTGCCTTTTCACTCGTACGCACTCTTGCTGCTCTTCTGGCAGTATGGAAACGGAGAGCTTAGTCTGGAGGAAACTTCTAAACCATGTCATGTTCTTGGCCTTAAATGTATGGTTAAATATGGTTAAAAGTTACTCTTTCGCCTTTGAGGGTGATTTTCTTTTAG